ATGTGCATCATCCATATTAATTCTTTTAAGCACATTTTCTGTATATGTCGTTAAATGCACTAGGGTTCCATCCCTTAGATGCTCAATTTGCAATCCCAAGCAAAATTTTATTTTCCCGAGATCTTTCATCTCAAATTATTTCTTCAGATATTCCACTATCTGAGAAATCTCTACATGAGTTCCAATGATGTTTAAATCATCAACATACACTGCAATTAGTGTCCCAGATGATCCATCTTAATATTTCTCTTTGCTTTTGATGATCTTAATAATCTCTTTAGTCGTGATACACTTTCATATTTACATTCCTTTTAGGTTACTATCATTTGTGTGTTCTTGTTGCCTCGCTAAAACCTTTTTATAGAAAAACCCAGTGAGATAAAAACCATGAGAAGGAAAAAGAGTACAACCACGCAGATCATCATATTTCTCCCTCTAGAAACATCTTCTTCAAGAGATGCTTCTCAATCATATATCATCTTTAGGGAATTGATATAAGCATAACCTTAGTTAATACACTCATATGCTTATCAAACTTTCTCAGGTTAATGGACTTTTGGTCCATAACATCCTTTCGCATAAAAGATACTTTCTTCCTCTATTTGAACTTTATGCCAAAGTCTTTTACATACAATCTTCTTCATATTCATACAGTACATATTTGTACATACGAGTTATTCATGCTCTTCTTATAAAATTTATCATGTTGGCTTTCTTACTTGCCATACTAAAGCCCATCTTTCAATCATGAAAGAAATCAACAACTTGCTCAAATAACATTTCAAGTGTGGTACTCCAAGACCAACTATGTATGAGCATTTTTATATGTAAAATCATACAAGGATCGTTGAGACAATATCTCTTTCTTAAATTTACAATTTAGCCTCAAGACAAACTTGTAATTCCAAAGTTTCTTCTTCCAAATTTCAACTTTCGATAACTCTTCATGAGTTTTGATTATGTCCAAACCAAAGATTCTATTGATCCATAATCTTTTGATACATACACATGAGTATATTGATTATCATATATTATCCGCATGAAGCATATTTGCTTTAACTCAATAATCTAATAGACAATGTTCTCGAGAACCTCATTTTGAAATCATTAATCCTTCTAATTGCTTCTGGCAATTTGATTTCCTTTTAGGACTAAATCAAGTATTTTTCTTAATCTTAGACTGATAAAGGATCTGTAAAATAGTTGCATCCACCACAAGAAAGTATATCTTTTCATGTATCACTTTCATTCATCTTTCGTATAAAGATCCACTTATGTCTCATAAGTTTTATACTTTCAAGTATACGGACTACTGGTCCAAATTCTTCTTTACAGGATATTTAATCTTTGCCTTTACGGCCTCTATCATGATTGGCTAATCATCGGTTTACGCGTTTTTCAATACATCTTTTGTACAGCGGTTTTTGATCCTCATTTCTCATCATCAACTGCTTCATTACATGCAAAAATATTATCGACGTTGATTTGCTTTTGATTCCATTCATTCCAGACATGACTCAGTTAGTTGAAATCTCTTATCATTACTAGGTACCTAGATTTCTTTCTTTCTCATGTCTATATCTCATCTAGAGAATACTTCATCAACCTTGCCATTTTATATTATGCTCTTTTTTCTTTCGAGGATTCCTATCTTTGGAATCAGTAGGTCTATCACGCTTCATGCGATCTTTAGCCTCTATAGCAGTTGATATTGTCCCCCCGGGACATCAATATTAATTGGAGCACAGCTGGTATAACTTAATCAGGGCCAGATACTGCTTCTAGCATCAAATTTGCTTAACTTTGCAAATAAATTATCTTTCAAACTTTTAGTGCACATTCTTTCAGAGGATCAAGATAATTTCTTTTACTGATTTTCCAGCTGTTTATTTTCTCCCCCTTCTTTTATTGTTGGAAAGACTGACTCACTGAAATTACAGTCTATTATTCTAATCTTATCCCTTATTTGATAGCTTAATACATTTACTCATCAATGGAGATTCATATCTAACATATATTCCTCTTTTGAGGTCCCATCTTAGATCAATGTGGTGGAGCAACATTATCCAAAACTTTTAGATTGGAAACATCTGGTTTCTGACCAAAACCAACCATAGGGAGAACTCAAAATTTTGTCGTTGGCTTAATGCGAATCAATGTGGTTTCACTCTTAATTAATTAACCAAATACTTTCACAAAGATACATAGTGGGTGATCAATCCAAAATATTTCTTTGTGTATGTACCACAAAATTAACATATCCAAATTTATTGGAGAGTGAAAACCAAACACATCAGAATCTTCTGGATCTTTTTCGCATTGTTATTTAACTGGAATGGCTTAACCAGCTATGCCAAAACAGTGAGATTTTCAGTAAACTTCTTGTTTACTAGATCCATTTATATCTCATATACTAGTGTAGTACAATTCAATAGAGAATACAAGTAGTTTCTCTAAATGACTTTTACTGCCTTGGATAATACTCATGATGTGAAGATGTTAAACCTTTTCTTCACTCATTGTCTCAATTTAATAAATCTTAAAATCCTTTGGATTTTCTTTACACATGAGTTATCGAACATGAGTATGAACATGATCTCCTCGATGTTCCACTTTCTATGAATTGTGGAATTCTGCAATTCTCCCCCTCGAAATGATGATGACACTTCAGTTCCATTCATCTCGAATCGAATCCCACTCTAGGATCAACAACATAACCAACTTGGGTTTTACATTATATCTTAGATCCTTTTGACCTTTGAGACTTAGGAGAGTATAATCCATTAATGATTCCAAATCCTTTCATAGGCAATCATATCTGCTCTTCTGGAGCTTCCAATATTTTATACAATCTCATCTTGTACTCACACTAATTTATTTTATCATCATATGATAGACATATCTCTTGTATGTTACCATCTTTATTCTCTCACTTCTAGTGAATATCAGAGTTCTTAAAAGAAACTCTTTGGCCTCAACCTTTACCTTGACCATATCCATATCCATATCCACATTTATGTCTGCAACCACTTCCATAGCCATATTTGGCCTATATCAATCATGTGGCCTTTTCTTTCTCAATATAGGGTGTCACATTCACTTCAGGAAATGGACTATCTCAAATCAGAAGTATATCCTGATTTTTCTCTTTCTAACTCATTATGTTGTTCAGCCTCTTTTAGACTCATATACAAGTTTGTAACACTTCTCAAAGTGTAGAGTATTGTGTCTACAAGACAACATCTCATTCTCTAAATGGTAGAGTATGTCTTTTAACATCTCTGCATCAACGATATTATCTTCACATAATATCTGAACATAACCGAGCCAAACTCACTTGCAGACTTTAAATCACATTATTTTAGATTCAACCAATCATAATGAGTGTAATATCACATTTTGGTGATTCAAAATTTTGTGGATCTTTTTGGTCAAGTACTCGATCTTAAGATCAACAAAGAGGCATTATCACATAAATATAATCACGAAAATTTGTTCAAATTTCAAAAAATATGATAATCAACCCAGATGCAATTATCTTATGCAAGGTTCATTTATAAAAACGTTAAATGTTCTATCACTTAAAGCATGCATCGATTTGAACAAATATCACAAAGCAAATGATTTTGACTAACACAATTTAATTGTACTCAATCAATTATGATATCCAACCAGCACAAAACTTATGTAATAAAATATTTTGATTGTCGTATTCTATCACCATAATTAATAACAATAATACGATTACTAATAAGAATTTAATCTGATTTAATATTACTCACATAAATGATTAATTATGGACTTATAGGAAGATTAATAATAATTTAACATAGTTTATATAAAGCAATTATATTATAAACTCTGGCAACATCTCTATGTGCTAAGTTATATTAAAAATCATAAATCAAGATATAATCACATATAATATTTCAATCATTCATTAATTTATTAATATTTTACCTTTAAACTAGTTTTTCAATCAATCAATCAATTCATCAAACAATTTCATATGATATGAATGTGTAAATTTCGTGATAAAGCATGATATAATTTGTTTGTGCAAAATTTGTTTTGGAAATCCTTATCAAATAAAACAGAAAAAATTCAGCCGTGCACAGATAGGACATATATTTATATTATGCTGTTATAATCTCACCGTACATAAATAGGGCATATATTATGCTCTTATAACCTCGCCGCCGTGCATAGATAGGGCATATCTTATGCTCATATAATCTCGCAGTGCATTAAACGATTTATGATAAAATCCAGTTGTGCACAGATTGAGCATATATGATGCTTTTATAATTTCGCCATGCGTAAACCCTAAGCATAGAGGAGGCATAGTCTTCCTTCTTCGGGGAAAGAAAAACTTCTCATCCCAAAATAAAATTTTGAACTAACTCTCACATTTTCGGTTTGAAGAAAAAAAAAATTTAAACTAACTCTCATCTTTTCGGTGTGAGAATGGATCGAGAGACAATCGTGCTGATAACATGTTGTGAATCAGTTATCAAGAGAGAGAGAAAATTGATGCGTAGCTATCACCACAAATTCCCGATGTGAGACAAATACAATATTAGTAATGAACCTTATAATAGGCATCTATACATTAATATTCATAACAAATTTGATTTTTCACTGTTTTTCCCTCAACTTTCACCATCACATTGACCAATAAAGCCCCGCATTTACTTCTCTTTCCGTCATTCCAAATTACCAATATAACCATTCACACAGTAAAATAATTAAATGAAATACTAAATTCAGATTAAATGACATATTTAGCATCTTTTGCCCTCTCTTTAACCAACCGCTTTTTGTCAAATATTTTGTAAGAGAACACCAAATCTCTTTTTTTACTTTCTTTCTTTTGCTAAAGGAGAACACCAATTTTTTTATTTTTCATATGGCTAACGTTTAAGATCTATGTCATCAATTTCATTATACATAAGTATGTAGTATTTGTGCGTGTGTGTATACTCGAAGTTGTCTATTAACAAAATAAAGATGACAAAAGAGAAGATGTCTATTTCTTCTTCTTCATAATAACCTTTTTATGTTCGAAAGTTTCAATAGTCATCATCACTACATGACCAAACATAACATCTAGGATCAACGACTCTTACTGCTACCATCCTGACCAAAATAAGCTAAGATAGATATGTACAATATTAATCCATAATTATTTTTAAGTGTTAATTCGAGAAAATCAAAGAAGTTGAGATTCTCTTGAAACGAACAAAGATACGATTTTTTTCATTTATCGTAAGAGGAAGGATCACTCACCGATCTTGGTAACACCGACGGATCTTTATCTGAAAATTATTTCAAAAGGAGATTTTGATTAATGAATTTTGGAAGAAAAAAATGAAATTTCTTTAGTTGAATTGAAGAAGAAATGTTAGAGAAATTGGTAACTGGAGATACCTCGAGAGGAATTGAAAGATCTTTTGCAGTGTAAAATGGCGCTTTGAATGCTATCTTGTTGCTGCAGAAGCGAGTCGTCGCGTCTCCTTGACTCAGACGGCGTCGTAACAGTCGCCGCCGTAGACGACGGAGTCGCCGTCGTAGTCGACGATGAAGATCTGCTTTTTCCGAGGTGTTTCCTCACTACTTTAAGACCTGCCGGAATGTTGATGTTGATATTTCCCGGTTTATGCGTCTTCATCACCGGAGATTCAGTTTTCTCCGCCGTAGATCTCGCCGACGGAGCGGAGGAGCCGAATGTTAGTTGGCCGGGATGCTTTAGCTTCTCGCCGTACCGGCGCGAAACTCGGATGTAAAGCGGCTTTACCTTCTTCAGGTACTTTTGCACCGTCACGAATCGGTTTTCTTCCGAAACGACGGATTCGCTGCCGTTTTGCTTCTTCAAGGAGGAAGACGAAGAAGAAGAAGACGACGACGACGAGTTTCTCGAGCTGTTGTCTCTCGCGAAGAGGGAAATTATCGGCACCTCTTCCACTTTTAAATTCACTGTGACCGTACTTTTCTGTTGCGATTCCGGCGAGTGTGACGGATGAGGAGGAGGAGGGTTTCGCTTGTCGGAGTCTCCAGATACTAAATCGGCTTCTGATTTCTCCGATTTCGCCTGAATTAGCTTCGATTTCTTCATGCCGAGCATGAACACGCGAAGCTTCGTGGCGGATTTCAAAATCGACGCCGATAACTGTGCCGCCGGAGCTTTGACGGAGCATGTCTGCTCTGTTCCTGAAGACGGCGGTTCAAGCTCCTCCACAATCTGTCCCTTGAAGTAAACATCGCCCGAAGGAGAGAAATCGAGGTCTGGATCTACTCGATCTTCTCCACCGGAACACGAGGAGAGCGTGAACTTGAACTCACAACCACCGTCCGTACAATCGGAATCATCCTCTCCTCTTCTTCTTCCTCCTCCACCGTCATCTTCACCGTGTTTGTTGCTATCTCCGCTCTCTTCTTCTTCCTCCACCGGAACAGAGAACTCGAGATCGAAGAACGGTCCTTCGTCGTCGTCGTCGGCGGCGGTAGTTTCATCCTCTGTTTCCGTCACGGAGGTGACAATGGTGGTGGCTTCGCCGGAGTAACGGCAAGAGGAATCGGAGGACTGAGGGAGCAAGCTGAGGCCGGAGGAAACACCACCACTGTTTTTCCAGTAGTTAAGGAGACTGAAAGCTTCCATGGTAGGGAAAGCCAGAATAGTCAGCCTTTCAAAAACGCTGCGTTTTAAAAAGCTTTCAAAGGTTTTGTGTTTTCTCCTTTTACTTTCTGCTTCAAAAGTTGAGAGGAACACCACAAGGGTTTACGGTGGAGCTTGGAAGAGAAGAATGAAAGCTATAAATATCAAAGAAACAAATATTTAATTTATTTATCCTTTTATGTGGAAATCATTAAATTTTCTTGTCATTTGAGATTTTATTACTATTAAAATCATTAATTAAAGAGAATTATTGTTTTTTAAGATAAATATGCTGGGATATTTTGCAATTACTTGCATTGCCATCTGCCAAATTTGTGAAACAATCAGACAAAAATAACTTAAACACTATGCTCAAAACTCTAATTCACGTGGCAAGTGTTTGTCTTAATTAATACAATCGGTTACAAATTACTAGTCATCTATAGACTATAATTGGTAATTTGTTGATATGGTACTTCTGTTTACATGTTTATGTGGGAACGTTAACTTCTGGACAACATCTTAATTTCAGTTTTGTGTTTACTATTCAATGAAAGTCAATTCCTGATACTAATCGCTCTTTAAGTTTTGGATGCTCTTTAATCACTAAAACAAAAAAGCTTTGGATGCTCTTTTACGTTAAAATAAAAAATGTATATATTCGCAATTTTATATCTTAAATTCACTTTGTATATTCCAAATTTTACAAAGAAGCAGAGCCAAAAAAGAGATGAATAAGATAAAACGTGGCAAAGAGTTTTGCATATGAAGCGAGTTGCTAAGCGTAGGGAGCAGGTCAGTCACGTGACTTTCAGAATGGGACAGTCAGACCAAAAGGTCAGATATCATTAAAGTATATATACGTACTCTTTTATTTTCTACTTCATCTACATAGTACATATCCATATTAAACAATAACTCTTTCTTTTTTAGCAATTTTTTTTTTTTGGTAAAAGGTTAAATTTTTTACCATTTTCAATTTTTTACAGAATACAGAGATACAACAAAGAAAGAGAAGCAATCAAAACTACAGAAAATAACGAAAACGACAAGATTAAAACAGAAACGCAAAAAAGAATGGATTCGGTTACAGAACATGAAAGTTAAATACCAAGCCAATCAAGAGGAGAAAACACCAATCACACGCTAAGAAAAGCATGGACCATCTTGTTTTTGCCGCAACTCAAAGAGCTGGAGTTCTCATCGTTGTTGCCACGAGCCTTCTCCCGAGGCCCGTCCTCTAAACCTCTGGAAGAAAAACCTACAGCTTCTCCGAAAACAAACAAAATCTCCGGAAGTATTATGAACCAACTGGCAATTGGCGACAAGGGAATCCGACGGGCTATCGGAGCGTCGCCTCCGACCACCTTTCCCGCAGACCAAAATCTCAAAGGGAATCAACTCCCACAGTTGCACGGTAGCTGCAACAACATTCCGGCGCCTCTATTTCTCCACCTGATTTGCTCCACCGTCTACACCAACCTACAGCTGGAGCTATCTGCAACCGAAAACCAAAAAACCCTAACGAGAACCTGCTAACCGAGCCGAAAGACAAGAACACGCACCGCCGAAGAACCCATGCCACACCGATGGAAGACGGCACCAGAACTTCACCGTCAAGACGAGAGAGAGCTCTACCAAGCCACCCGTCTAAAGCCACCGCAAAGGACACCGTCGGTGGAGCTGCGCGAACCGGAACAAGCGAGGGCCACCACTCTGAGACCAGCCACTAGATCAGATCTGCCGCGACACCTTAACCGGAGAAAGAACCCGTCCTCAAGGTCCAAATACACCGTCGCCGGAGCCGAGGAAGAAAGATCTACAACACCACCACTCCGCAGCCTCAGAAACAAGATAAACACCACGAGGCTTTGGAGGGTCTTTAAACGGGAAAAGTAATGGCAAGCCATCACCACCACCGAGAAAAATCAGAGACCACGCCGCCGGACACGAGAACTCACAGAAGAGAGCCGAGGAAACCGTTGGAATGAGAAAATGTCGGCCATCGAAAGAGAGAAAACGACGAGAAGAAGACGAGGCGGACGAGGAGAAGAAACCGACCACGCGAGAAGGCTTCCTTCCTCCACCGCAGAGACCGGCGATGCCGCCGAACCTGCGCCACCATCGTGCGAGGAGCCACCGACGAAGACCCTTACTCCACCGAAAACCAACACCAACGGATCCAGAACTAAAGGAAAAACAAGAGGGAACAAAAGACACAGAAAGGGGCCAGCGCTGGTGCTGTGGAAGCCACCGGCGCCGGAAATGCGGCGAGATCTAGAAAAAAAAGTTAGGCGGCGGTTGGAGAGGAAGAGAGAGAACAGAGAGAAATTAGGGCTAATCCTTTCCTTTTTTGTGATGATGTTTATTCAAAAAAAAAACAAAAAAAAAAAAATCTTGCATTTGCAACACAAATTAATGAAATTTAAAACATGAAAGCTGCTGCGATGAGTGAACTTGATTACCATTGACAAAACTGAAACACTAATAACAGTTATATACAGTACAACCATTTTTATTTTCTTTTTTTAAAATAAATAATTTTGTATAACGCTAAAGACCCATAGTTTGATATTTTCATGTCTATTATTGTTTTTAGGGTCCCTTTTTATTGATTTAAAATTCTTCTTTTGTGAATCTAACAATTTTCAATAGGAACAAGCTATTTCAGTCATTTAAGAATTTGTTTAATTTCAACTAATTTTAAATCACCATTACCTTTTATTATGACGATTTTTTTTGTACTTTTGTTAACTGTTATTTTTTTTTTTGTTGATAAAAACTTGAACTGCATGTCCATTGTTCTGCAGCTAGTTTAGTTTTAAATTTACGAGATTGTGTTACATATTAGTATTATCATTATGTAGTATAACTATATTATTAATCAATGGAAATCGACAAAATTGATGGTGTCGCCCCTAAAAATAGTTTAAAACTGATTCTGAAAGAATTTGGAAAATGTTTAATATGAATTTCTAAATATGCACTATATGTGTGTAGTAAAGTTTGTAGTTCCGAGACATATTATTGACATCATCATCATTATTAGCGAAGTTTTTAGACCGTCAGATTCACTGGATGGGGACCCCAAAGTCCCATTATCATCCTTCTTTAATGGGCCTCAAGTTTCAAGTTCCCAAATTCAGTAAAGAATATGGGCCCTTACACTCTATTTGTACGTAACTTCCGTATTTATACTACATTTATTTTTCATATTCATTTAATTCGATTCACGGGATCACTTCATTAATACTGCATTAATAGATTTACTCTTTCAATGATAAATAAATTCATTTCTAGTTGAAGTTTTATTCAATGCTTCATTAAATATGTTTATATGGAGCTTGATCTTATAAATAAATTAATGGGACACATTTTTCGAACAACAAAAAAATTCCCTTATTCGCTTTATCAAATTCAAAAGGACAAAGCACTTTCAAAAGTAAGTCAAAGAAGCTATCTCTTGTTGTTTGATAGGCTTCCTGAAATTCAGCTTTACTGGATTTCCTCCAAAGATAAAGTAGTCGTCAAGTTCTTGATCGAAATAGCAGAAATTATTGAATTGTGCAGAAAAATATAATTGGATCAAGTACGATCAGTTTTGAAAAACTGTAATTTATATTCTTTCTTATTTTGTCTAAAGTTTATCAAGGTTTTTTTTTTAATAAAGTTATCAAGGTTTTCATCTTTTACTACAATTCATTAATATAAGAGAGATATGAAAACTCTGATATTTTATATATGGAATAGTTAAAAAGAGAATTGAAATGACAGTGATCCAAATTTGTGACTCCAACTTTCCATCGATTTTGACAAAATATTGTAAATACTAGTTGATTACATTAAGCCTGAAGAACATATGAAGAAAGTGACCGAGAGGTTAAGTTAAAGCAAAGCTCTTTCCTCACTAAATTCTCAACCTTCATCAATGATGCAACCACAAAGTCTCCAGATCATTTCAATCAAAGCAAGCTTACAAAAGCAGAAAATGAGTCTTAGTTTGCAAAACTATAGATAATCAAGGGAAGTAAAGCTATTTCCGTGTACAATTCAACACCCAATTCCCTTTGTTTCAACTCCAACCCCATCCGATCATTCTAAAGTTTCATCATTTAATTCTCCAAATTTAACTTAAATATCTCTTATTTTTTACTTTTCTTAAATAACAAGCAAAATAATTCTCTCATTTCTTTGCTCTTTTATGATTTTTTTTTGTAGTGTACTCTACGAGATGTTTTTTTCCCATTATGATATATATCACATTATTGGTCATTCATTCGAAGTTTAATAATTTCTAAAATGTGATATTTTAGGATATTTCTAAGTCTAAATCATCTATTACCAATTTAACAACTCTAAACATTTGCTCCCATTTAACAGTTCTTCTTGAATTTGTAAGAACATATATGTTTTAAATCTAACGAATTTAAAAACACTATAATGAACAAATAGTGCACAATAGCATTTTTCATCACAATTTTGAAATGCATAGTGATGAGAATATAAAACTTTGATATATAATAATATTTAAAGGATAACAACTTATGTAATAATATAATGATTTCTGTGAATATCATTGCTGTTGTTTCCAACGCAACTCACTCTAAACATTCTCATGCTCGCCGGCAAACATTTGAAAATTTAGCTCAGCCAAATAACCGAATCCAATTCCACGACTTGCAAGATGGTAAGTTTTTTTTTTTTTTTTGCTAGAACATACAAATATATATTTCTAATTTGAGTTTTTTTTTCAGTTACCGGAAATAAAAAAATGTTGCAGATGAGGAGATCATTAAGCAAATAAATGAATGGGCAAATCAAAACAACCCTCCGGCCAACATCTTGCTAATCACCGACAACTCTGATTTTCTCGAGACCGTGGAAATGTTGGTAAATGTGTAGTTCAACATAATGCTCGCTTACAGGGAAGAAGCTGATGCTGATGTGATGAAGATGTGCTCCGTAAGAACTAAGTGGAGTTAGAGAGGTCTTCTAAATGCAGGACGCAAGCTGGGGAAGAAGAGAGGTCGAAACAATGATCCCAGGAGAGGAAAATGTGGAGGAAGAGAAAAACGTGGAAGGAGAAGTGGAATTTTTACCTTAATTTCCTGCTTTGGTTGTTAAATTTGAAGTTTTAATCTTAGTATCGTAACTTTCTTTTCTTCTCTTAATTTGTCTTTGTGATCTTCTTTGTAATTTATAAGAATTGTAAGAATTGGTTATCGTAAAAAGCGCTAATGGCAAATGGATAATCTTAGTCATCTCACAAGACTCTAAATTACCAATCGGTGGTTTGGTGTGGTTCAAGTACAAGTAATGGTTTAAATTATGGTTCCTCCTTAACTTTAGGTTTCTTAACGGTTTTAATTTTCTTTGTAGTTTTTGGGTTTCTATAAAACTTTTATGCAAAGCATTATTTTCTAATTTTTCTTCTCTAATTATCTAAATAATTATTTTAATAAATAGAAGAAGAAAAAAAAATAAAGAAGTTTAATATTAGATTTTTGATCATTCTTTGTAGCTCTAGATATTTCGGATATCGGGACAGAAAAATACAGGTAAAAAACGGGAATGGATATTTCGAGAATTAAAAAATACTATCCAAAGTGTTTCCTTTAAAGAAACTGGACGGAAAATTCGGGAAATCAAGTGTCAGAAAGAACTGAATACTACATTTTAACCCCGTGTGTCCGCACGGAAATGTTTTATTTTTTTATTTCTAATATAAGTTTCATTTATCTTTTTTGTTTAGATATAATTTGTTTTTGTTATTTATTTTGTTAAATCAAAAAATTGTTATCCTATTTTAATTTTAAACAGTAAATTTGTATATTAGTAGAATAAGAGTATACGTTAATTAAGTATACATTGATCTAATGTTAATTATAAACTTTGTTATTATGTGAATTTAGATTTACACATAAACAATTTTTATATCTATGAATTTGCTAATCCATCCGTTTAGTTGTCTTAAATCATTTTTAATATCTTACATGTTTTGATAAACTAACCCGTATAAGACTATAATTATAATTGTATAACCCTATAGATATTTACTAATATGGAATATTTGGACCAATTGATTATGAAAAAATATAATAAAATATTTATTTAGTATTTGTGATATTAAAAAAATGTGTGTATATATATATATATATAAACGGGCTAACCTGTTAGTTTAATTGTCTCAAATCATCTTAATATCTTACATGTTATAGTAAATTAACTCATGGACTTTAAAAAAAAAATATATATATATATATAACTCTAATCAGCTCGATCATATTATTGTATAATATAAATATTTATTAATTTCAAATATATGATATTTTAGACCAATTGTTTATGATAAAATACGATAAAATATTTATTTACTATGCATTTTATAAAAATATTATTTAAATTTAAAATTTAAAATTAAATCTTTCCTGTATTTAAGAAATTCTAAAGTATTAAAATTATTATCTAAATTTTCGTAATAAAATTTAATTATAATTTTTTTGATTTTTTTGAATTTAAACTAAATTGAATGCAAATTTTTGTAACTAAATTTAATTAAATTTCTAATAATTTGAAATTTGAATTAAAGATGACCTAGATTTTAGGAAATCTAAAAATAATTAAATTAATAACTAATTTTCGAAAATTAAATATAAAAATAAAATAAAACATTATAACAAAAACTTTGGGAGTGTTTGGATGCAAGCACTAAATGTGCTTCTGTTTTAATAAAATAGATGGTCACTTTATATATACTAAGAAAGAACCGGCGCATATGCACAGATTTTGTTTTAATTTATATTTTAAATATTACATTTTTAAAATTTGTATTGAACTTTATGTTTACTATCAATGTTTTTGTGTTTAAAGTATTTATATTTTATTCGATTTCTTCTTGATGATATATTATTTGTAATCTCTTTTACACCAGTTGTGCGAAATAGTCTAATTTTTCTCCCAAAATAATAAAATACTAAAAATCTACTATTTTAATTTTTATATGAATACATAATAGTTCACTTAAAAATATACATTGAATATCGGAGAGGACTATTTATTTGTTCTTCGATCTTCATATTCTTTTTATTCTTTTATTCTTGTAAATCTTACTAATATAATATTGGTTAACTTTCTCAATTTACCATTTTGAATTTATTTGGTTATATATATATATATATATATATATATTGATTCCATCTTTTTTATTTAAAAAAAATCATGTATGATATTTTATGTGGATATCCTTCTTTTTACTATTATTTTTTTAATAACTTTTATCTCTTTAATCATTTATTAAATATTATTTGTGTTTAATAATTTTATTAGTTGAAGTTTTATATAAGATGACTTGAAACTTCTTAACTTATTCAATCTCATAATTTTTTCACTTGTATTAAAATTTAATTATATTTTTAGTTTAAAAATGAAGTTTAAATAAAAAAATAAAATTGGGCATTTAAAAAGTCTTATATTATATAATATTTATAAATTTAAATTTAATTTTAATTTAATTCTAGTATAAATATATATTAATATTTAGTTATTTTTTTAATGTGTTTATTTACTTATGTTCTTTAATGTATTTGTTTTAAATTGATTAATTATTTATTTTATTAATATTTTTAATGGATATGTGTCACTCCCTCCATTGCTAATATGTCACTCAACTGAAAAGAGTTAAACAACTTTTATATATAAGATTGGTCAACGAAAAACACTTCATTGCAGCTAGCTGAGATTTTCAGTCCAACTCAATGATTAAGTGAATTAATAATCTATCTTATTTAAATGATGATCACAAATAATTTCAGGTGCCTTTAGTAGAAGTATAACATATATTGATATATATGCTCTCTTTATCCTATTAATCATGAGAAGAATATTACTACCCTAAGAAAATCCGATCCTGTCGGGCTAATTGTTTGGCATGATACAGCAATAGTATACACCCTAGAGATTTAATTTGGCTAGCAGCTAGCTGTAAACCTTTTTTTTTCTTTAATTCGCATGTGTATATAATATGGAGTAGGGCAGACATATAATGTCGTTTTGTAAAATGTTAAATGCACGGTGGGTTATAAAAGAATCAATAAAACAAAACAAAAGAAGAAGAATTTGATTAAACCAATCTGCAATAACCCAATTATTTCTATTAAACATACTGCGAAGACTAATTTCAAATTGATTTAGTTGGTTTAACTTTTACAGTTTTTATCCGTCTAAAATTATATTCAAGTCACCAAAAAACCAAGTACTAACCAAAAGTGAAAAGTGTATTAACTTTTTACAGTTTATCGCATGCGTTGGTTTGTTTCTAAGACCTGATTTTACTTTTTTTAGTATTGTTGTTCTGAAGAATAAATCTTTTAGAAAATTTTCTTCTAAGTTAAATGGGGAAAACCGGAAAATGAATTAATGATTTACACAAATTTTATTTTCTTCTTCTTCTTATTCTTCTCATATGAAGACCAAGTTTATGATCTCAGTACCTTTTATCACTAAGACCTTTTTTTCGTTTGTTAATTTTTCTTGGGAAGAATATCCTAACAAATCAAAACTTTTGGTTGAGTGATTAAAATCACCGCCAAATTATTATCCGAGTCAGAATGTAGTCGTGTGTAATCAATGTGAATATTTGAGTGCAAACAAAAGGCCATTTTAATTGTTTGAAGTGTCATTGTTGATGTTTGTCGATACTGTATTTCTATATCGTCACTGATTTACCATTGTGGTTGAAGGAATTTTTTAGAGTCCGAAAGAGTTAAAGACCCGTGATCTTTATATAATGGCCTTTTGGGCCTTCCCTTTACAGGCCCAAATCGAAGCGTTTATCCATACATACACATCATAGACGCTTTCACTAACAGAGACGTTAGAAGCTTGGTTAAACAATTTAACGGTCGTTTGTCATCCGTTTCAAAGATGTCGCTTCTATAGGTTTTAATTAAAAAGTAAGCAATTTGATTTCCTACGTGGAACTGTTGTTACCTGCCCAGATACACCAACGGGCACGATTGAGTAAAATAAATCGACGGGTGAGATTGAATCTGTATCAAACGCTCTTATTTAGAGGTGACTAAAAAAGAGTCTATTTATTTTCTTCTCCGTTTCTCACTCATTCGCTTCTGAAGCAGACTGAGTTTTAGGGTTTTTGCGGAGGTTTCAAGGGAGTAAGTTATAATGGTGGAAGAGCACAAACACGAGGAATCGATCATGGAGAAGATAGCTGAGAAGATCCATGGTCACGATGGATCTTCGTCGTCTTCTTCCGATTCAGACGACGAGAAGAAATCTGCGTCTCCTTCGTCTATGAAGAAGAAGATTTACCGCCTTTTTGGAAGAGAGAAGCCTGTCCACAAGGTTTTCGGTGGCGGTAAACGTATGGATCTCTCCTTTTCCGTTGTTCTTAATTTTTTTCTTTCTAATTTGCTATTTTTTGTTCTTCAATTACTTTTTCCCAGTGTCAAGCTTCTCTAATTAGCGGTTTAAGATAAGTATTGATATCGGATCTGGATTGTAGCTTTTACCTTCGATCGAGTGTGAAGTTTTGTTTTATGCTTCAGCTTCAGCCTAAGATTTCTCGTTACCAAGCTGCTGATTTCGTAGATTATTTTTGTTGCTTGGATGGAGTATAGACTTAGGATACGAAACGATTTGATTGATTGTTTACTGGTAGAGAAATATAAATCAGAGAGGATCTGTAGAATGACATATATCGTAAGCTCAGAATCATTAATTTTTGTTTTTGTTTTGGATTCACTGTTTGGATTTAGCTGCCGACATATTCCTGTGGAGGAACAAGAAGGTATCAGGAGGAGTGTTAGGTGTGGCGACTATCTCCTGGGTCTTATTCGAGTTACTTGAATACAACCTCCTCACTCTTTTTGGCCACATTACAATCCTTGCTCTTGCGTGTTTGTTCTTGTGGTCTAGTGCTATCACCTTTATTCACAAGTAAGTTTAGTAGCTAAATGTTGTTTTTTATCTTCTTTAGTTAGAGATTGATGTAAATCAATGGCCTGTTAAAAGCTGATTTTTTTTATGCGTTACAGGACACCTCCTCATATCCCGGAAATTCACATCCCTGAGGAAGTTGTTCTCCAGCTTGCATCTGGTCTTAGGATTGAAATCAATCGTGGTTTTACTACTCTTAGGGACATTGCATCAGGAAGGGATCTCAAGAAGTTTCTATTGGTAAAATCTTTTTTGTTAATTATGTTTGTTGTTCGATAACCGGTTTTTGGTTTCTAACATTGGCTCTTAAATGTGTGTGTTTTAGGTGATTGCTGGGTTGTGGTTGTTGTCCATAGTTGGTAGCTCCTGCAACTTCTTGACTTTAATCTATATCGGTAACAATCTATACTCTTATTGCATCCATTCCATAAAATCACCTTCTTTTGTGCTTTTTTTTTCTGTTATCTAATCCTCTTTTCTCTCTCTGCTTTCAGCAACTATTCTTCTCTTCACCGTTCCTGTGCTTTACGAAAAGTATGAAGATAAAGTGGATGACTTTGGTGAAAAGGCAATGAAAGAGATCAAGAAGCAATATGCAGTGTTCGATGAGAAAGTTTTGAGTAAGGTGATGAGCAAAATCCCTAGAGGAGCCTTCAACAAGAAGAAGGATTAGAGAGTGTGTAATTTTCTCCCATCATCATCATCGTCATCTGAGTCTTCCAGATTGATATCTAAACCTCGAAGCATTGTTTTTCTTTTTGACTTGTTATTGGAAGCTGTTGGTTAATAACCCTTTTAGTCTCTCAAATCTCTGCTCTGTGGATTTTATTCGGGGTTTTTAACCAAATTTTATAGCATATGGAATTTGAACTATAATTATTGATCGTATTATGGAATACTATCGTCTCCGTTGTGATAAATCTTTGAATATTCCAAATTTCTTCTTCACCTAAGTTTCGTGTCCATAACTATATCATACGTACATGATATTATTTTAATGTTTGACATCCTTCACAGATTTTAGGGGTTTCTTTCCCATTGTTTTCTCCTCTTTCCGTCTAAACCGTAATTACAACAACAAATGAGTTACTTCCCTTAGTTTAATTAGTGTCTAACTACAAATCAAATTGCACCCGGTTCGTCGTAGCAATCCAACGGAAAACGTCATCAGTTTCTGATTTCTTTTTAATTGTTCGAACCTCCTAAAGGCTTTTACAAGGTTAATTCACCACTCGTCAGCTCATTTGTTAGAGTAAGTTGGATCTTGATATTGATACTTGGAACTTGAAAGTATATCATCATCCTCCATGTGATGAGGTGGACGAAGCATGCGATTTAATCGTTAGTCTCTCCCTCAATGGTGTGGAGCATAATGTTTGCAATATATTGACATGTACCAGATGGCTGCACATGTCATACATTAAATTAGAGGACGGCTTAGAACTGGTGAAATTGCTGAACTTATCAAGGAAATGCAAAGCATAATGTTGTATTTTATTAAAACTTGTGATATTCTAAAAGAAGTGCATTTATAAGTTCTAACACACTGCACAGGTACATATATGATTAGTACATTTTTTGATTCTGCAAGAATTGAAACAACTCCCTACGCAATCGTCATCTTTAAAGCAACTCCCAAAATATTGATCACCGTGAGACGTCGGTGGACATGCTTCTCCAACACACTCATCATCCACATGATTTGGTGGACCTTTCTTCATTTCCCTTGCATTTGACATCCACACACCTATATATATAGTCAGTCGATTCAAATTTTAAAGTAACTAAATGCCAGTGATATACATATAGAGAGAGAGAGAGGGAGAGAGAAAGAGGAGAGACTAACATGAGAGGAGGAGTGCGACGAGAACGATGAGCAATATTGTCTTTGATGATGCCATGTCTCTTTTAGTTTTTCTTAGCTCGATCTATATGTTTTATGACTGTGTTATGATATTCTGTATGGTTTTAGTGTCTATTTATATTTGTATTTTGATATTCTATATGGTCTTAGTGTCTATTTATATTGTGTTATGGGACATTAAAAAATGGTATGTAATCTATCAAAATACCATATTTTATGGATATGACTGTTGAATACCATATTAAAGTCAAATCTAATATGATCTCATAACTAAAGAGAAGTAGTATTCGGGTCAACAGTCAAATTTTGTTTAATTTTTTGTTATAAGTAAACATTGTATACTGTATACTGTTTTTAGATCTTTAATCGGATTATCAATTTCTTTTGCGTTGTCATTATTTTTTTATGATTCTAATTATAATCTTTTCAACCCAGTCTTTTCGATTTTTTTTTTAATTTATTTTGCAGTAACTTTCAACTTTCTCAATTTACTATTTTCATATACCTTTCATTGATTTATTTCCAGATTTTTACTTTTTGTATTGTGTTTTTTTTTTATTATTATCTTTTAGATTGTTTGTTACATGTTGGTTCTTTTGTGTGTTATAGTGTTTTAATTTTTTTTACTAATCATTTGAAGTTTTTTTTATTTATTTTTTTAGTCTCATAACTTACTTTTTTTTCTTTGGCATTGATAAAAAAAACTTGGAATTAGGTGTTTTTAGAAGGTTAGGATTAGAAAAGAAAATTTAAAAGTTATCAAATTTAGGAGTTATTTAAAAGGAAATTTGTTTATTTATTGGAATTAGGAGTTAGCTAATCCATTCTCTATATAAGGAATTGCAGAGTTATTGCAAACACTTATGAGTTGAGAGAGAAATTAAGAAAAACTTTAGTTTTTGAGTAATTTTTCTAAAACTAATAAAAGAAGTTGATTTTATTAATTCTTGATCTAAGTCTCAATTCTATAATACCAGACGTATCAATTCTATAAGTCTCAATTTTATAAAAGAAGTTACTTTGTCACTTGTCCTCTACCTTCTTCACCTCTTCGTCAATACCAGACGTAAACTCTCGGCCACATCTTCCTCCTGCTCTGAGAAGAAGACAACGCAATTCAGCAGCTAAACTCGCCCATTGGACCGTATTTTTGCCATCATTTAATTTTGATACACTCCATTCTTTGGTTTGATATATTTTGTGTAGACATAATGCATAATACAAAGCAGCCTATCCATTACGTGACTTTCATTAATCAAACGGCTTTTTGCATCTCTCCATAACCTATAGCAAAACAGAACATAGTACGAATGTCATCACACAGTATCGATTGAGCCATGTATAGGGAAAGCTCAACTCCTAGTCGCACAACCTCCTCTTTCATGTCCTCATTCCCAGAGACCGTCCTACATAACAAACAATAAGTCAATATTTTGACTTTATAACCTGTGAGAGTGACTGAAAAAACTCTGACCAAAACCAAGGGGCATTCACTGACCTAGTGTATGGATAATATCTGAACGATCCCGCCTTGGGTGACTAATGTTTAATTAACATTGGTTAAAATCATCTAAAACTACCAAAATTACTCAAAATCACTTCAAGTATACGATTACAAATTTGACCATTATCCGATCTACTGCGAGTTCACGTAGTGGTTTTAATTTTCTTATCCATTTTTTAAGAGTACAGTTCACATGACAGGTTTAGATATCCAAAAAAATACGTATCAAAAAAAAATTCTTTCTTAATTGTAGCTTTTAGAAGACGTCAAGAAGAACTTGATATTATTATATTTTGTGTCAAACTTATATAAATTTGTTATGACCCCAAAAAAATGTATATCATCGTTTCTAACACTGTCCGCAGATACATTCATGATTAACACATCTTAGAAATTTGCAAGATTCGAAACAACTGTTTAGGCAATCATCATTTTTAAAGCAACTCCCAAAATATTGATCTTGCAGTACCGGTGGACATGCTCCAACACAATTCACATCTTGCGAACCTATTATCATTTCTCTTGCATTTGATATCCACACCACACACCTATACATGCATTCAATCTTTAATATATATATATATATATATGTGGTATGTAATCTGTTAAGACTACATTATAGAATCTCAAAAAAAAAATTAACAAAATATAGATTGACACTTAATAACTATTGTCAAATTAATATAATTGATATAGATGTATATTAAAAAATGGTATTATATCTATTGTGAAATTCAATTTAATTACTAAATAACTAAAATTATTAGGGTCAAAAAAATTTAATTGTACATAACTAACTATAGATGTATTGTGGAATACTGTACTAAAAGTCAATTCAGCATTAGGGTCCAAATAAGTAAATTTATTATAGCAATTTCATCCTTTCTCCTCTCTTATTAACCATGAGTAAAATTCACCACATTATTATTACATTCCCCAAACTTTCATAATCTATTGTTGACCGTATCTTCTTTCATTTGATTCATCATCATCATGATCACAAGAAGTAAGTGAGTTGTTCTTTCTTCCTAGATCCTCCTTCTCCATACAACTCATTCCACTGCTTCAGCTCTCCCATTCCTGCTCCCTCCGCCGCAAAACTCGCAGCCACCTGCGTTTTCAATTTCAAACACGTTTCAAATCAAAACGCAAAACGCTATTTCCATATCTACATAAAAAATTAAAAACCACTATGCCTCAAGTCTCTTTCAAACCTGATTCTTGGCTTCTTTGAAGTCTTGTCTGTTCAACGGACGAAGTGTAATAATTCTCTCTTCTTTTCCTTCTTCATCTTCACTTGCCTTCGTAGTCTCTCTCTGTTTCTTCTTCTCCTTTATAACAACATTAAACACGAATAACAATCAAATCAAACGAAAATAACTTTAATTAGTATTAAAGGAAAAAGAAAATTCTAATTTCTTACTGTATCTTTGATCCTCTCTTGCTGTATAAGCTCTCTCACTGGTCTATACGCAGCAGTTGTGCATAAATTCTGATCAATCAAATCAACGGTCCAGATCATTTTATCTTACTATGGATTTAAGAAATGTGTTTCTAAAGAAAGACAAAAAGATCAAACCTTGAGATCGCTGCCTGTGTATCCATCAGTCATCATCGCTAGTTCCTTGTAATCCAAGTTTTCGTCCACTTTCTCTTTTGCTAACAATGTCCTTAGGATCTTCTCTCTGTTCTCTACACTCGGTAGTCCCACCATAATCCTACGATGCCAAAGAAAAACAAGGTAAACCAAGTGAACCGAATCAAAATCATTTGTAAAAAGTAGGGTAACTTGCTGCATAAGTTATCTCCTTTGAAAGTTTCTAAGAATCCAGAAAAACTTGAGGGCACTTAATTTCATTAGTTAGATGTAAAGGAAAACGAAAAAAAAAAAAAAGTGGGTGACTTGCGGGTAAAGGTATACCTTCGTTCGAACCGTCTGATAATGGCCTCGTCTAGATCAAAAGGTCGATTTGTAGCAGCAAGTACTAAAATACGCTCACCAGGTTTAGTCATTAAACCATCCCAATGACTCATAAACTCATTCTTAATCTTCCTCATAGCTTCATGTTCTCCAACTCTCGTTCTCTGTCCCAACATACTATCAACTTCATCCACAAATATAATCGTCGGTGACACTTTCGAAGCCAAAGTAAACAAAGCCCTAACGTTCTTCTCGTCTTCTCCAAACCATTTCGAAGTTATGGTCGACATCGAAACGTTTATGAAACTCGCTCCTGCCTCTCTCGCGATGGCTTTAGCCAGCATTGTTTTACCAGTTCCTGGTGGACCAAAGAGCAAGATTCCTCTGCAAGGCTTTAATAGACCTCCTGTGAAGAGATCTGGCCTCCGCAGAGGAAGCATTACAAGCTCTTGGAGTGATTCTTTTATGTCGTCGAGTGCTCCAATGTCTTCGAATGTGACGTTGATTTCTTCTGCTGGGATTACTTCCGGCCTTATCCGTTTCTCAAACTCGTTATCAGGTGGAACTTCCTGTTCCATAGGCTAACACAATTGACACACTGTTTCGGCAAATATAATGAAGTAGATAAAGAGTAGATAGTTCAAGCTAACCGGAGCTTTCGTGGCTACTTTCTCAGATTTAGCTTCTTTCTCCGGCTCGTTCTTGCTAGTTGTGGTGGTGACACTCTCTGATTTTGTCCCCGGCTTGAAAACAGCAGCTACTTCAGCTTTAACTTCCTGAAATAGTGATGACAAGAGAAATGTTTCAGCCATGTTTCTACTCTGTTTCTGTCTTACTACTCTGTTTTTTTGCTAAAACAGAGTTTGAGAGAGACCTTAGATTTGTCTTCTTTAGGTTTTTGCTTCAGTTTTTCACGACCGCTCGCTTTTTCTTCTCTGAACAAGCTGAATCCATGCGATAAACTAACTCCAACAAAAAAAATAAAGTATACATCAACACCAATATCGCCATAGAGGTTGGTTTGTGTAACAAGTTAGGGCTTTTTCACCTTGCAGAAGATATCACAAGCTTTCCGTTTCTATACTCAGGATCTTTGTTGTTCATCAAATGATAGGAAAGCGCAGAGACGACAATCTCTTCAATGTAATTGCTCAAAACCTTTGTGTCTTCAAAAGAGATGGATTCGAGGTCATCACATATAAGATCATTCTCAGACAAAACCTCCATGATATGGTTCCTATTGTCCTGAGTTTGGATCATGTTCATGTCGCGTTCAAGCTGCGATTTCCAGCTCACCAGATGGTTCTCATCCTCAGGCGGTCTTATGTCAATGTTATAAGGGAAAACAGCAGTTAGCTTCTCATCAATCTCGTGAGCGTCTTCGTTTGACAAGTCTACGATTCTCGAACCGAGAATAAGGACCGGTCCACTGAGTTTCTGGAGAAGCTTTTGGAACAAGTTATAAGTTCTCTGCGAACGGAACAGAAGGTTCTCGATGTCTCGAAGATATAACACAATCGGATTCGCCTTGGAAACATAGGCCAAAACCTGCACTTGGTAGTTGCAAGATACTACTATTACAAAAAATATTCAAACAAGCTAAATGTATAGTTTTATACATTACCTTATATAAAGACTGGATGAGTAGCTTTTCGTCGAAGGACCAACTACTAGTACGCTTCAAAGGCGCTACAAATAGAATCAGATATATTAGTATAATATAAATTTAAAAGGTTTTAGTTTTATTGATGAAATGAATAATGCATATAACCTGAATTTGATGAAGATGCAAGGTTGCTGACATTAGCTGCTGAAGAGTTTCGGCGAAGCTTTGGAGGATTATTATCCATTGGGCTGTATAGATCACGGTACAACGATCATATCAATAACACATAATGTTTTGATTCGAAAACATTTGACGAATATTGCTTAAAATGTGAAGTAAAGGACACAGAACACACGACCTTGATTTGAGATCTACACCACTGCTTTGCCTCCTCAGGGTACCACCAGCTGAACAGATTCAGTAACGAACAATGTCAGTTTACATTTGGTTGAGCAGAGCCGTTTTAAGCATTACACCAGAGACAAGGTTCAAATATACCTTTGGGCTCTTCTCTCTGAGGAAGGATGGAGAATGAACTAAACAGTCCTGATAGTTGCTCTAAAGCAGATTCTGATGGAGATCTCTTAAATGACTGAAATAACCGATAAAAAAAGCGGATTTCCAGTTTAAATCATTTGCAAGATAACAGAAAGAAAGAATGTGGAAACCTAATTAGTAAAACAATTACCAATGATTCTGTATTTGCGCTACCATATTTGCTCTGTATCTGGAAACACAACAAAGTAGATTTAAGGTTCCCAATGGACAAGGCTCACAATAAGAAACGAAGCTTAATGTTGTTGATTAATGTTTTATAAACCTTTAGCGCAAAATCGTTTACGTCTAGGAGAAGTAACTTGGCGTCAAAGAAATGAGCTAGGGCTTTGGCTAGCATTTGTTGGTAAAGCTCTACAGAGATACACATAACGAATCAAAACATGAAATGACCAAAAATCGGTTTAAGAACGAAAGCTCGAGATCGAATCATCGGAATCTAACCGGCAGGACCGGACAAGAGAATGGCTCGACTCGCCGGAGACAGGTTTCTGGTATATTTTGATGCATCAAAGTGCTTCAAATGAACATAAGCTGCACTCGTTAGAAGCACTCGTGTCTGTTCACTGCATGGTCCCAAAACATTGATGAATATATAATGCGTATATGTGTATGTATAGCTTTCAGACATGAGACTGACATCAAGTGAATAAATCCAAACATCTAGGGCTTAAGAACACATGATCTCTCTGTTTTTGGCACGTGTCCGAATTAGAAGACAATGAGATCGACAAACATTAAATTCACATGATTTCACCTTCATTTTTATCATTCCAACGAGTATCTTATCCGTTTTTCTATTAAAAAAACAAAACCTAATTTAATCAAAAAGATATTGCAATGACTTTTATTATTTCCTTATAATATTCTCACTTGTATTATCGTCTCGAAACTCGAAAACTATAGATTAAAGTGTCGATTTTCCATTAGATGATTTTTTTTGTTTAAAAAGTAATCAGAATTGAAAAATCTTTGAATTGAGTTGAATTTTCAGAGTATAAAAAATGAAGGAAAAAATTAGAAATTTACCTGAGATAATAAGGAAACTCATCGAAAGTAATTTTACTCTCTCTTCCGTCAACAACTTGACGGAGAATCTCCTTCTCCATCTTATCCGCCGTGACGGCGTTATTTGACGTCGAAGTCCCGGTGGCCCATTTACCGACGGCTTGACCCGAAGCCAAGCCCAAACCAACACCGACTCCAACTCCGACGCCGAGCGCCGATAACAACATCTGCTTGCTATCCATTGATCTTCCAAATATGAAATCTAGGAAGAAAACTAAAAACAGAGTATTAGTGTTAAGTATAAAATATAGATGAAGATCTTTACCAAAGATACTAGTTTTTGAAACAATGATAAAATCGTATATGAACAAACCAAAGATATTGTTATTTTATCTCCTATAAATTCTATTGAGAATCCGAAAGAAATATTTTGATGATTTTGTCTGTTTCGACCGTTTTTTCTCTGTTTTATAGGAAGAACAAAAAAAACTGTTGACCCGAAAAAAAAACACAAACTTTCGAACTAGTTTCAAACCTATAAACCTTTTGTTATTAAGATATCTCTCTCGGGTTGTTTCTTCTGCAGTTTCTTTCTCTTATTCTCTAAGAAAACAGAAAAACTTCTAAAAGCCTGATTTTTCCGGGATTTTGGTCCTCGAACTCGAAATAAAAGACGTTTCGATTGTCTGAAAATCACAGAAAGGAATGGTAAAAAGCCGGATCTATTGACACGTCATCACCGGCGGTGGAAATGGCGGCGAATGTGAGATATAGGGTTTTCTTGGATATTTTTTGGGATATTTTTTTCCTTTTTCGGATCGCTTCTCTGTTTTTTTCTCAATGTGTGTGTGTATGTATGAGATGAGTATCTACATACACATGAAAACTGATGAGTCATTACAGAGACTCTGCTTACGTGTCAGTATATTAAAGGTTAGAACGTTGCGTTTTGGCAGTTTTTTATTCGATTTTGCCGCTTCTTACTCTACGCCCTTGAGTTCTACTGTTTTTCTATTTCTTCCTCGGTACTTTTGGGATTACCATTCTAGTCCAGGAAGAAATGTATACTGTATTCATTTTAAATGTAACCCTTAACTTTGCAGTTCGAGAAATGTTCTCTCAAATTAATGAACTTAGACAAGAAGGTTCAAATATTTTGTTTGAATGCTGTACGATATTTGTGGCAAAGAGTTGCGAGATATTAGATTGCTCAAAATAATATAAAAAAAGGTTACCTAAAATAAAATACAAGAACGCAGAAACTACTAGTAGAAAGCATGACTTTTTTAGATCTGGAAGACGTGGTTTAGTTAAAGCTGTTGGATTACCAAGGAAGATCCACGTAAGGGGACAAATTGACGGCTTAGATCGAAAGGTATGGCTTCTCGTGTCTTTGCAGCAGCATTAACTAATCTCGATTGCTATGAATAAGACAACTCCACGCGCCAGGAGAATTGGGACGCACCTCACATGCCTGTGGCAGGCTTGGACAAAATCGAAAACCTGAAAAGCCAAACCGAAAGCGAACCAAATTTGTATTGTAATTTTGAATGTCCAGACCTAATTCGTAGTATTAAAAGATTTCTTTTAAGTATGAGTGATTAAAAATGGGCTTTTTGTTATGGTCTTTAACAAAATAGTTTATATGGGCCGATCCAATTTGTAGGAAAATTATACTGTGAAGATTGTATTGGTATCTTGAAAAGTATATGGTGATCTATACAATAACGTGTAACAAAATCAATAGTCAGGATGGCCGAGTGGTCTAAGGCGCCAGACTCAAGAGAGGGCGTGGGTTCAAATCCCACTTCTGACAATTTTTTTTTTTCTTTTTGTATTTATTTATTCCTTTTGTTCCTTCCATATTTTTTTTAATCACCTTCGTTCCATATCATTTGATTGATTGTTTCTCAATATCTTATTATCTATTATTTTTTTGAAGGCTATAGGATTATAACAATAAGCACGAGAGTTATTCCTAAGGTAGATTAGATAGATAGTTGCGTCGTAGAAAGCATCGTACGTGGAGTATGAGAAGAGCGGCCCTGAGTTCTCGATCGAGGGTTACAAATAAATTCAAACATATTTTACCGTTAACATATTTTATTGATTGATGTATACAAAAAGAACGAGAGAAGGAAAGCAATTGAAATTGCAATTTGCAAACAAAGACATGAGTTTTATTACCCTTATCATCATCATCATAAGAGACTGTTTTGACAATTCACAATAACCTTGCTTGTACCCTTAATTCAATATCTACAGGAAAATAAGACAAAGAAAGACTCAGACTTTTGAACCTTTTTGTAAGCACAAACCTAAACTAGACAAACACAAGACTCTTTTACTCTCACGTGCCAACATACCCCACACGTGCAGAATAAAGACTGGAAGCAAACCGAAGACAACTTACATCCACCTCTTAGGCAGGTTGCTTGAGCCAGAGCCACCGTCTCTAGCCAACATCGCCATAATCAAACTTCCACCATGAACTCTTCCTTCCGGAGCCAACCCTAGTCCTGCTTCATACTCATTGAGATCAATATCAGTCTCTGGAGATCCAACAGCACTTCTCGCTTTCATTGAGTCGATGTTCATGTCTTGGGAACCGCTAAACTCTTGGCTCTCGTTCTCTGTCTCGCTGCTGCTTGGTCTCGGTTCTTGGCTCTCGGAAGTAACTGTCATTCCTCCGTGAACCCGGTTATCCTGAACCAGACTGTTATGGAGTGCACAAAGACCAGTCTTACCTCGAGCAAACGAGGTACAAGGACCAGAAGAGGATTGTCCAGCATACTCAGTCTCTGGATGACCCCAAGCACACCGTTTCCCTCCTCCATGCGCCTTGCAAAAGTCAGTACTACCTTGAGCGCTTTTCCCACATCCTTCTGACTTGCATCTCTTTCCTCCACCATGTCTGACACAGAAATCAGTCCTTCCTCTAGCACTCTTTGTGCACTCGGGAACCGCACATCTCTTACCTCCACCATGTGCCACACAGAAATTGGTACCTCCATGAACACTCTTGGAGCAAGGATCACCTCCTTGAAAGGCACACCTTTTTCCTCCTCCATGTCCTTTACAGAACGGCGTGCTTCCTTCTGCGCCTTTGGTGCAACCCGCGTGTGTACACCGTTTACCACCTCCATGTGCTTTGCAGAACATAGTGCTCCCTTGTGCTCCTTTTGTGCATCCATTAGCTTGGCATCGACGACCACCTCCATGAGAAATGCAGAGTCCGGAAAGCCCTTCAGCGCTTTTAGTGCAGTTTTCTCTTTGGCATCTCTTTCCTCCTCCATGCCTGATACAGAGTCCTGACCTTCCTCTAGCAGCTCGTGTACAATCTTCATGGCTGCATCTTCGACCACCTCCATGAGCTATACAAAAATCTGTACGGCCTTCAGCGCTTTTGGTGCATCCGAGAAATTCACAACGACGGCCACCTCCATGTGCTTTACAGTACACGGTTCGACCTTCAGCGCCCTTGTGGCAACCATGTTTCTGGCATCTGCGTCCACCACCATGTGAAATGCAACGACCAGATGCGCCTCTTGCACCCTTTTGACATCCTTCTATTTGACATAACTTGGAACTAGAAGAACTCTTATGCTGTGGCTTCAGCTGCTGAGTTAAACCGGAAGTACATGTACCCGAGCTTATTGGTGTTGTTGTCGCCGTGCTAGATGAGAGGTCCAGAACATGAGAAGCAGGAATGATTATATTCTTTGGAGCATGAGCTAAGAAAGAGCTTTTTTCTTTGCTTGATGAAGCTTGCAATGTAGGTGATGCAAACCCAGGTCTCCAGCCACATGAAGTGGATCCTTCATTAGTTGCGCGTAGCATTTCCGCAAGCGTTGGAAATTGGTTCGCCTGCTGCTGGACCGCAGTGATCTCAGATTGACAGGACACTCCACCAGAAAGACTCAACTCCAGATCAAATCTTGGGGAGAGGACCTGCAAATCTTTCATTTTTGAATTAGCTGGTTTCTTGTTGCTGAAGGGTTTCTCGCTGCCAAGATGGAGGCTAAAGTCCAGCTCAATATCCATTGAGGACTCCTCCTCAATCTCTTTGGCAGAAGATAAACTCGTGCAAGCAGTTGCCGAACTCCCTTTGCTATCAGAAGAGCTTGACGAGTGACCGAGTCTCAAGGAAAGTAAAGGATCAGCTTCTTGACCCTTGGCTCCATCAATCAGACTCCATTTCCTTTTAATACCCTTGGTATTAGACAATGGAGAGGCAAGGGAATCAAGACGCAGAGTAGTATCTGCGCCAAACTCAACCTCTGGTACTTCAACTTGAAGAGGACGGCCCAAGATCTTAAATGAATTCGACGAGGAATTACCAGCGAAACCACTGTTATGGAATCTGGCATGCATGGTCACAACTAAAAACGAAAACTTGTCAAGAACACCAAAAGCAAAAACGCGAAGCCAACAACACAGTACACCTCAACTTCCGGGTTAAGAGAATAAGCCACAGCTCTAAGAGTTAGAAAACCTTATAAGCATCTCCACCTCCGCTTACAAATCCTGAGGTATCGCACCGATCCATTTTGAATATAAGTTAAAAACAAAATCTGGCAGCTGATTCGAAGTTGCTCTCAACGCAAGTTAATTCTCAACCTTCACGAACGTATGACCATAGCAGCTACTCATCCTTGCTTCATAACATTAAACGAAATAACAAACAAGCGAGGAACAACTTCACTGCAAGCAAAGTAGGAAGGAGCAGTGAGAAATTCAATTGGGTTACCAAGTTCACACAAGACAGTAACTGAAATCATTAGCACAAGACAGTTTAGGACAAAAGATGATTGTTTTCATCAGGACCTAGAAGGCTAAAACAGAGATCCGAGACAGAATTGCTTCATTCGTTAATCTAACTCAGCTTTTGTGAAACAAGATCTAATAACAGAGTATAAAAACAAGAAATTCTACCAGAAATACACCACAATTTATGGACTTTAAAGCTAACATCAATAGCTTATCGATTTGAAAAGCATAGATTGGGAGAGATGAAGCAAACAGAAGAATAGAGACCGAAAAACACAAACCAGAGTCCTTCAAAAACTAAGCCAGTTCTGGATTAAACCGACCCGAATTTTATAGGTTTCAGAAAGGAAAAAAAAAAAAAGAACACATACGACAATCACAAAGAACAACGAATAAACAGAATTCTTCAATTTCCAAGACATCGATCTCTCAAAGACTATATTTTTCGAGATACTCGAAGTCTCTGACTTTTCTCATCAAACAAAACATGCAAATCAAAAAGGAATATATAAAATCGAGGAACCCGATTGTGAAACAAAGAAGGATTTATGGCGAAAGAATTACCTCAATTATTGAATCTGATTACAGAAATCAAATGATAAATCAAATCGCTAGATTCTCTTTCTCCCTCCCGCTCAATCGAAATTCAGAACTTGGCTAACTCTTCTTCAATTGGTTTGGTGTTTTTATTTTGGTTTGCCTTTGTGAAAATCTAGGGATTTGCAGCGCCGGCGAGAGAGATTGAAAGAGGTATAAATAGGAGAAAAGGAAACGAGAAAGAGAGAGAGAGAGAGAGGCTTAAAAGCAAAGGAGTGGAAATCATCGAATCTGAAAGAAGAGGATGAAAAAAGGGTAAGAAGACTGATGCCACACGTGCGATCAGAATCTTTGGCACGTGCCAATGCTTTTTATGTCTTCTGCTCATTCTGTGTTTTGCATTCATAAACAAACAAAATTAAATCATTAATTATTTATAAGCACAGCTAAAATTAATATAGAAACCTAATTACCTGTCAAAACATGACATTTGGTTGTGTCCTCCACTTCATCCCACATTTCCTGATTCAAAATTGTTTTGTCAACCAAAAGTTAATTTACATCTGTTTTCTTAATTATATGTTTTTCTCTGTTGTTTGTTCTTGAAAAAGTTGTGTTTTTTCCCACATGTACACTCAATTTTTATGTATAAGCTAACGTTTTCTTTACTAAAATCTCGTTATCAGTTAAATTAATAGAATGTACCGTGTAATTAAATTTGATGTTAGATTTGATGAATGTGTGAAAATATTAATAACATACAAATCAAATATAAAAAAAAAAACTGAAAGGGTGTATTGATTTCATAAAAAAAAAAATAACTGCAAATATCATTTGAAAATAAATTATCTTCTTATAAGTTGAATAAACAAGTCAAGAAACTATTTAAATGTAAATTGCAAATAGATGGGTTTCTTGCAAAAGACTTGAAAAGATTAATTAGCGAGTGTCGGCTAAATCAATAAATGGCGGTTGCTAGCGTCAGCAAAACGCAGTGCGTGGCGGCTGAAGCAGCAGCGGCTCGTCACCGTTCAATTTGGTTTCTGTGATTATGAGGGTTGGGGCCCATCATGCCTCTTTTGTGTGGGTCCCTTATGATTCCCTCGGGAGGTCTACGATCGATAGCGTATTTTTCGCAATTATTTGTTTTTGTAAAATTTTATTTTGAGACAACAATAAGTAAAGCGACATCGTTTTCTTGGTTTTGCTATCATTGTCTGTAATAGGAAACCGAAAAAGGGTCCACGTACGATAAAAGAGTGGTTCAGGTTGCAAATGCAAACACACATAGATTTTGTTACTTTTTTTAGGTCAAATGTATTGATTCTCTACTTCCGTTAGATTTTTATTATTTACTTTAAACAATTCAATCAAAGCTTGTTAGGTGTTTCTGTCCCATTGATATTATAAGGAAATTGATAGCTTTGCAATTTTTTTTTTGTTTTAAACAGCATTGGTTGACCCAAAAAAAGAATGCGTTTTTTGTGGGTCGAAAAATCTTTGGGTTTTTGTGGTTGGTAATAACAATTTAGTCATCTTATTTCTACATTAATATCAAATCTGTATATGGCTCTGTACTTCTGTATCATTTTTGTAGTTTAAAAAATGAAAAAAAAAATGTAGTATCCTATTTATAAATTTGTATATAGGTGGAAGGAGTATTTTCTGTATGTGCGTGCTTTTTCTGCAGGCTTTTTTAGTCAGTTTCGTTCTATTAATCCTTTTTAAGAAAACACACTGTTATAAGAAAAGATACTCATTTAGGAGTTGGAGCTAATAAAGTGTGTAAATTTAAAACTTTTCACATAATTTATTTCACATGCACGATTCTAATATTTTAATATTACTCTACATGAGGAAATACGAATAAGAAAAAGAATATGCTCTACCATGTTCGACTCCTTTATAATTCTTTACTGTCCCGAACACGTGTTAAGTTTGGACGTATCTTTCAAAGCATAATATATTACCTATCTTGACCTCTAAGCAAATTGTAACCACTAAAAAACAAATGTATTAATGGTACATATGAAAAATTGAAAACTGTAAATCACAATATACTTAGCAGAAAAGAGTGGAGGATAAACAATTCATATAAATTTCCACATAAAATTAAAAAGGTCTTTTTATATAAATAAATAAGAGGAAGAGAAAATACTTATACTTACGTAATGATCTCAGCCACTGTCACAGCAGCAAACACGAGAAACAAAACTCCTCCGACATAAGCTATTGCCTGTTTTGAACCAAACAAAACAACATTTAAACCCTTCATGTTAAGAATTCTCTCTCTTTCAAACTCTTCAACAAATAACGATTTAATTTTTAAACCCCTCCAAAAATCAGCTTTACAAAGTTTATTCATTCAAGCAAAAAATTGTTTGGAAGAGTTATGATAGTATAACAAAATAGTCCAAAATCTAAACCCTAGACTCGATTACCTAAGTCCTAAAAACTAATAAAACTTAAACTCTAAAACCTTACCTATAAAACCTGAATCGATTTACCTTAAAACTAAACAAAATTATCTATCTCTTTGATTTAATAAGTTTGACCTATTTCTTTAACACAGTTTTTAGACTCTTTTTTTTGGCGATTAGCTTCATTTATTTAGGAATAATATCGCGTTGTTGACAGATTGGATCGGACATAGGAAAGAATAAAAACACTAAAAGATGTTATTTTGACTCTTTTTGGGGGAGGAATATATACCAAATGATGTGGAAGACCTGAGATCAATGAACGTAGTAGCTTGTTGTTGCCACTTGCCATAGAATAAAAACCTTAATTTCTACTTCTCTCACATTCCTTTCTATCAAGTTAAATCTCAGAACAAAAGACGAGAGTAAAAAGAGATCCTCTGACTAAAACAAAACTCAAAAGGTGTTTTTGGAACTAAAAAGCTAAGGATAAAAAGCTAGTAAATTACCAATAGAATCTGGTTTTTGTATAATAAAAGCTGAATAATCCCATGATATGATTACATTAAGTATATTCACACTACATCTCATAATAATTTAAGGACATATATTTCGTTAAGTAACATACTTTTCTATTTTCTAAAGGTTTGAAGTTCAGATTTATTCTTAATTAAAATGTCATTTAGATGTGCAGGAAATCCTAAACTGACATTGTAATGAAAAAGAGGAAGTCTTCTTCAAGTGCCTTTATGAAAATATATAATGGTCCCTAAATTTAATTTGAACTATATACGCATATATTATGTGTATGTAATAATGTATGTATAGAGAAGATAATTAAACAGTGACATTACCTTCTCTGACAAGAAATTTCCCAGCAAAGAACCTCCCAAAACCGCAAGCTGCGGTCAAAAAAACCAAGCTGCAAGTTTATTGTGTCTCCAAGTTTTTAGAGAAATTAAATTAAATATCCACTTAAATGGGTTGCTAGGACCTTGATGTGTTCACATCAAAATTTCAACCTTTAGTTTTTGTCAAAGGAAAAAGAAACTCACCAAAGTCGCAGCACCATGACCCGCCAACGCTCCAGCGATGACACCCAATGGAGATGATGCAGCCGCAAGAGCTTCAACAAATTAAAAGATTATATATATTTTTCGAGTTTTGAACCTGAGCGTTTTCAGTTTATCATGAAAAAAGTTGGAAGTTAATTTGGTGGTCTTACCAATTGTTGAGAAGAAGGATTTGTCACCCCATTCCGCAACAAAAACCAATGCAAAAGTGCTGATTATGGTGTTAGCGGCTGCTACTATTCCGGCTCCGTTACCTGAAAGCTCTGAAACCGCTAGTTCTGCCTGTAGACAAAAACAGTCAGAAAATAATCAAATATTGAGTTTCTTGAAGGTTGCATGGAAATATAAAAGGTGAATGGCTAAGAGAGGTTTTACTTCTTTCTGTTCTTCTTCGGCTTTAAGTCCATCGTCTGAAATGGCGTCTGATAGCGTTGAAACACCAAAGTAAACCTAAAATGTGACAATATTGATTAATATTATTCGAGGGTTAAGACTAGGCCTGTATGATATATGATCCAAACCGAACCCAAAACCAAGTTTGAATTTACCAGAAGACAAACTGCTGCAATATCATCTATAGGCAAATCGGTTTCTCCAAACCTGTGTTTTCAAGTCATTGACTATCTCATTTCATTATAATACTCAAACCCGGAAAAAAAAAAAAACGATTTTTTTGCCGGAGTTTTCAAACCTGAATGGAAGAATTTCATCGACATAGTGGAAAGTTCGTCCAAGCACTACAGATATTATCGTCATTATCCTGCAAAAAATAACCAAACTTTGTAACGTTCCCTTACTGGTTTCAAAATAACATTAGGTTTCAGACATGATTCAGGGACGGTAACACCTCCTCTGTTTTGAGAAAGAAAGCATACCCAAGAGCGCCAAAAGTCCCTGCGAATACGGTAGCAGCGTTGTTCCTTGCAGCTAAAAGGGCCTAATGAAAACTAATCACAATCAATAAAAGTTTAACATCTCAATACAACTTCGAAGAGCTCAAGATCATACCGCAATGAAGAAAGTCTTGTCTCCAAGTTCAGAGAAAAATATAAGCAAGAATGCCTGCAAAGAGACATAGACAGAGCAAAATGTAAGTTTTTTTTAAGGAATGGCACTGAAGAAGACAGACATAGTTCCCAGTTCTGTGCAAAAGGAAGATTCTCTAACCGAAGCAAAACCTGAGCTAATGTCTCCGAGGTCTCCAAGAGAAGTGACAAATGACTGCATCCCGTTGGGAATTTGAGAAACAGCAAAAGCTGGATCAGTTCCGAGCAATGCGATCGAACCAGATACAGCCAAGAACTTAAGAGCTCTCTGAGTCTCTCTTCTTGAGTGGACTATCGATGGTTCGACCACAAAATCAAGATTTCTAAACTCTTCTTCAGATTCAGCTTTCTGAAAAAAATCAAACAAAAGCAGTTTCTTGAATTTACCTCTTACTATAAAACCTATGAATAATAACTCATGCCTTTAACACACCCTCTAATCTTGTGTTCAACCTTCAAATTAATCCTGTAATCAGTCATTAGGATTAATGACTGCTTTTCTTTTTTTTTTTCTTTTGGTCAATATTAATGACTGCTTTTCTAAAGTTGAGATTTTTTAAAAAAAAAAACTACAATTTTTACAAACTAAACCTACATTTACCAGTTTAGCTAAATTCAAAATCGGTCCAATGCAATTCGAAGTAACCTCGGCAAATGGCAACTACAAAAATTTCAATTTTCTAACATCTACCAATAGAGAGATCGGTCCAAGTAAATATAACAATCAAAGTTACCTTGAGGTAACAAGCAGCATTTCTTCGGAAGCATCGAAACTCTAGCCGAGATTCTTTTCGATTCGATCGAAGGGGACAAGCGGAGACACATCTCCTCCACGATGAGGAAGAAGAAGAAGAGCAGCATGAATCTGATTTGAGAGGCTTAGGATTTGGGAATGGAAGACGAAGCGAATCGGAGACATTCAGACTTAGCATTTCTCTCTAAATGTCTCCCTGATTTTTGTGTTTCTTCTCGGCAGAGTGAAATTGATTCTTGATTCTTTACTGCAAACAAAACAAAACCTCTGGCTCTGTTTGGTTCTCAGAAGATAGTGAAAATCCACACAACTAGTTATGCGCGCGCGTCCACGTATACCATCGCACGTGTGGAAAACTCACGCGATTGTGTTGGGCCAAAATAGGCCCATTACTCATTAAATAGGCTATCGTCAGTGTTTTTTCTTATTATTTTTGCCAATTTAAGATAACAACTTCATATGTATTAAATACTATATGATATATATTTATATTTGGTGAGATATATGTGTATGTGTTTATACATATGTGTATATAAATATATGTGAGAGAGAAGAGGGGAGAAGAATAAGTGGAGAGAGAGACGTAAGAGAGCAAAGAAAGGAGAAGAATGATTTCTTCTTATTCACTCGTTCTTGTTACATCAATTACAATGTGCAACAATACATATATATAGAAGAAATAAACTCATTAAATAATAAGGAGTAAGTCGGTCAAAATGAAGAGGCGGTGGTGATGGATAATTATCCATAATACTTCCCCTTAATTATCTATCATTTTCTTAATGTATTATGTATTTGCTTCTTAATATTTTCCTTTTGAAAAAATGAATTTTGTTAGTCTTGATCTCATCAATAAAAATCATCTTCAATATATATCTTCTTTTATGATCTTAGATGCTTCAGTAAAAACTTCATCATGGAAAAATCCAATGGGATAAAAACCATGGTAAGGAAAAAAATGCATCTACGCGCATTATCATATTTCTTATGGAAGTATTCCCTTTTAGATATTTTATCATTTTGCGTCTTCTTTGCTGTCTCGTTAAAAACCTCTTCATGGAAAAACCCATTAGGATAAAAACCATGGTAAGAAAAAAAGAGTACAGTTACACGCATATTATCATAATTCTCCCCCTGGAAACATCATCTTCAGGATATGCATTCTAATTATATACACCATCTTTTTGGGGACTCTTTATAAGTAGAGTCTTAGTGAACAAACTCGTATAATCCTCAAATCCTTGGACTTCTGGTCCATAGTTCGAGTTAGTCATACTCTTTTCATGAAATATATTATCCTAACTTTCCAAGATTTCTCATTTCAAATCCTTCTTTTGATCAATGTAACTTGACCAAATAAAATTTTCAGATGCTTCAGGCATATTTGATCCTTCTAGGATCTTTATCAATATATTACTGAATGTGACTACATCCATGACCAGATTTTGGTCTTTGAGAAAAACTTGCCAAAACCGAGCTTATATCATGCGATTTTGTTTTTCTCATCATTTTCGAACAAAGACCCATTTGGTCTTGAATGACATTACATTTTCAGGTGTAATGAGCATAAGTCCAAAGACATTTTCTTTTGCTGATTCTTCTGGAATCCTTTCATTGTGTTCTCTAACTTTCTTTCTCTTCAAGAGAATTTTAGATTCCATTAGCCTCTCCCTTTTTAACTGAACCTTACGTTCATTTACTTTACTCCGATAAATTTTGTTCTTCAGGAACATTAATATTTGTGGAGTACTTCCAAGTTACATGAACTTCAAGTTCATGATATTTTGTAGGGAGGATTAAATAGCACTTTTTTTATAAATGCTTAAATCTAAGCTTTTCTATATGTATGATCCTGCTGGGATCTTTTGAGATGAGATATTCAATTGTGATACCTGCAAAACAAAATGAACATAATTTTCCCTAAAATGCATAATATCTTATGACTAAATTAAAGATCACTTTCTTTGATCCATCTAGTGGTTAACCTTAACTAAAACTATTAAACCCCATGCAACATATACTCATCAAGTAGAGTTCTCGGAAACATAATTATGATATCATTAATCCTTCAAGGAGTATTTCTTTCGCAATTCAAGTCGCTCATTTTCTGCTAGACTTGATATTACTTATGTTTGGACTGCTGGTCCAAAAATTTATCATTTTTCATATGAGCTTAACATAGACTTGATTGCCTCTTTTCACTTTTTGGCCAATATTTTCACTTTCTACACTCATCCACAGAGGTAAATTTATGATCCTCATTTATACCAAATCGCGCGTTATCTTATTTATTGTCGACAATTATTTTGTCTTTGGTTCCATTTTTTGTAATCGAGATCTCTTTATCAATAATATCATTCATGTACATAATTTCATAATCATATCAACAGATCTCTTCAGGAGATTCATTCAACATATATTTATTCCTTTCTTTTTGAGGATTTTATATTTGGAACCAAAGTAGTCTATCACATCTTTTACGTGTCATAAACTCTTTATTGATAAATCGTCCTTCAGGGACATATTCTTGGAGCATTTTGAGCTAGAATTGAGATTTTTTTTTTATTGTATGTCTGGCATTTATATATGAATTATCCTTTGAACTTCATGTTCAAAATCGTTTATTCGAGGATCCATAATGATAATTCATTTTTATGAAATCTCATTCATTAGCTCTTTCATACCAAAACATGGAGAAATTCACCATTGCTGATCTTGCAATCTTCTGGATCGCTTTATAAATTATCCATAAAACTCATTTCAAGTGTGAACATAATCTTCAGGATGTTCCACTACTTTGATATAGGATTCTTTAATTCTCCCCCTCGAGATGATGATACTTCAAGTTCATCCATCTCGGACTGAATTCCACTTTAGGACCAAAACATATCCAAATAACCCATCTTTGGGCCTCGTATTATGTATCAAATCCTTTAGTAGACTCTTAATACTTTCTTTGAGATGATGGCTTTACTTGTCCATCCATCTTAAACCGATTTTCGGTTTTGGATCTATTATATAATTTGGGGGACTTTTAAAGATATCCAACCATTATATCTAATAATCATTCAACCAAAAATGGTGATTTATCTCTCAGGATGGTCTTTTTTTATTTTCAACAAGACATGCTATGTGAGAAAAACTTCGTGTTTTTTCACATAAACTCTCAATACCATTATTACACTGGGATGGCTTAAACCGGTTATGCTAAATACTAGTAAAATTCAGGTTTACTATTTTAAACAATTTTGCCATCTTTATGCATGTCTCCATCATGTACTTTTCTAAAATGTTTTGCTCTGCTGGAGCATTTTGTTCTTTTAAAACATCTAGCTTCTTTAAGAACATCTAGCTCTTCTGGAGCGTTCTATTTATCGGGAGCATTTTGCTCTTTTGGAGTTATCTATTAACTTTGAATTTCTCTCTTCAAGAGATTTTAGTTCTTCAAGAACTTTTAATTTTGCAAACTCTTCCAGAACTTCTAACTCTTCTGGAGCTTTTAATTCATGAAAGTTCTGCAGCTCCTAATTCTTCCAGAGCTTGTAACTTTTAAAATTTTTCAGAACTTTTTAGCTCTTCGGGAGCTTTTAGTTTCTAGAACTCTTTAACTCTTTCGGAAGTTCTGATTTTTAAAGACATATTTCAATGTCTATAACCGTACTAATAAAATAAATTAAATAGTTAAACGTAAATAAATAACGAAACAAATAAAAATTAAAATAGTTAGCATATATGTTAATCGTCCGCTGGACGAAAGTTATTAAGCAGTTCTTCAGGAACGCTTTCATATATCTTTTGGATATATAATTTTCATATAGTTCTTCTAAAACTTATTTTCATATATGTCTTCAAGACATTTTTTTTTTCAAGTATGTCTTCTGGACATAATATTTTTCTTAGTTCTTCAGAAACTTTTCTTAAATGTCTTCGGGACATTTATTATATGGAGGTAATGATCTGAGGAGTCAACTACCATATGATCATAAACTAACCATATTTTTGATCTGAGGAGACGTAGTCTGCTATATGATCATGATCGTAAAGGCATAGCCTCTATAACGATTAGTTCGGAGAAAGCAGCGCCTATCATCCCGACCATAGTATATAAACATAAACGGATCGAATATAATTTAAATCTCACCTTTTCGGTATAGACACGGATCGTGAGACGATCGTGCTGATAACGTATTAAATACTATATGATATATATTTATATTTGGTGAGATATATGTGTGTATGTGTTTATACATATGTGTATATAAATATATGTGAGAGAGAAGAGGGGAGAAGAATAAGTGGAGAGAGAGACGTAAGAGAGCAAAGGAAGGAGAAGAATGATTTCTTCTTATTCACTCGTTCTTCTTACATCAATTACAATGTGCAACAATACATATATATAGAAGAAATAAACTCATTAAATAATAAGGAGTAAGTCGGTCAAAATGAAGAGGCGGTGGTGATGGATAATTAATAATATGTATATTTTTGTTTATTGTAATTGTTTGTTTTAGTATATGAATACATTAGTTATAACTTATTAGTCACATTTAAAATTCTGCAATTTGTTTTGCTTTATTGGGTGCCAAATGCCAAGGTTCTATTAAGTCGGCTAATGCTAGCTTTGATAGAAAAAGATGGATGCATTGATGATAAAGCTGTCACTACCTGATTTATTATATGACAATAACCTTTTATGTTTTACAAATTAACGAGATTAGGAACCGCATTAAGGAAAGACATAATCTTATGTTTAGAGATCATTGGTAAACTTATTAATTAGTATCCAATTGATTTTGAGAAGAACTTGGTCATAATTAAACTTCTATATGGTATCAAAATCTTGTGAATCCGAACTGAAATGTGATCTAACAACATATAGTTTTAAGTAAAGCAATACTTTAAAAGACGATCACGTTAAATAATAATGATTCAATATTAATTATGAGTTAGAAAATACTGTAATTATTTTTGAAAACAGTGTTTTTTCGGATGTCTTTGATTTCTCCTACTATCAGAAGTTGTGGAAAAAATTGAAAGGTGAGTGAGCCGCCTACATTGAAAAGTTTCAGATATATCATTGTAAATTATTTTACTTTATATGTGCATTAACAAAACTTTTCACCCACCTATAGATAAACAAGAAACGAGAGAAACGAAGTGAGCTAGTCCACTTCTACATTATATTAACACATACTACTAAGCCCAAGTTGTATATAAACCCCATCACACAAGCTAGTATCTCAATCAACTCTTTCTTCATCAATAACATTTACTCTCTCATTTTCCACTTTCACATTTTCATTAGAAGAAAGATATACATATTCATAGGCTAGAAGATATGGTAAGTCAAACGAAGTATTTTCTTTTCTTTTTCATTTTCCTTGTCCTATCAAAAACCGTCATATCAGCTAGAAAACCGTCAAAATCTCAAGTAAAACCGTGCAAGAACTTCGTCCTCTACTACCACGACATAATGTTTGGCGTTGATGACGTGCAAAACGCGACTTCTGCTGCCGTCACTAACCCGCCGGGGCTCGGGAATTTCAAATTTGGAAAACTCGTGATTTTCGACGATCCAGTGACCATAGACAGAAACTATCAATCCGAACCTGTGGCACGTGCTCAAGGGTTCTATTTCTACGACATGAAGAACGATTACAATGCGTGGTTCTCGTACACACTAGTGTTTAACTCGACTCAACACAAAGGGACGTTGAACATAATGGGAGCAGATCTTATGATGGAGAAGACAAGAGATTTGTCCGTGGTAGGAGGGACAGGTGATTTCTTCATGTCTCGAGGGATAGTTACGTTTGAGACTGATACATTTGAAGGTGCCAAGTATTTTAGGGTCAAGATGGATATTAAACTCTATGAATGCTACTAAAATGCTAGTTAAATGGTCAAACAGAAAGGAAAAGAGTTTGATTATTTTGAAACTTTCTATAATTTAATAAGTTTAAGTTGTGCAACAGTCTTATTTTCAGGGTTTTGTGTATTCTCGCTCTGCGGTTTGATGTATTTTATGATTTGTATTGGATTTATGTTGGACAAAATAAATCGGACAAAAGTGCGAATGGTTACAAAAAGAAAAACCTTATTGATCCGATTTTGGAATGGAAATTATAACCAAGTAGCAGACAAACTTGTAAAGCTGGAAATTACCCAAACTCTTTCTGTCTTATTCCATTTCTACCCTCTAATTTGTATTGACTCCCTTGACAATAAAAAGTTGAAAACATTCGATACGATTAATGAAAGTCTAAATGTTTTAAAATGTAAACAAAAGTTACGAGTGTGACACGCAAGCTTTTTGTTGTCTGTTTTTTTTTTCTTTTATAAAATAAAAAATACTCGCCGCATCAACAAAATTGATTTGGGTTTAAGGAAATTCGGATGATTTTCAAATCTATGAATGGTCAAGAACAAAAAGGAAAGAAATGACATGATCAGAGGCAACAGTTTCGTTTCCATGATTATGGACAGAGAAAAAAGGGTTTCTTTAGATTGAATAAATACAAAAAGGTGAAACTTTTGTTTTTGTTAGCCGCTCTAAAGAAATGAAAAGTAAAGAAGGAGAAGAAGAGGAAGACGATGGAGAAGAAGAAGAAGAAGGGCAAAAAGGGAAAGGATTTATCGAAAAGTTAAGGAGAAGAGCTGTCTTTGTAGGCCATAGAAGTGTCTTTCGCCGACCTTCCACCCCGGCGCACATTAGCTTCAACCCTAATAATCCTTCTTCTAATTTCTCATCTTCCTCTAGAAAGCTTGCAGCTTCTCTCTGGGAATTTTATCAGTACTACGACCAAGACCACGAGATTCCTCCAGTTGCTAAAATGCACCGACCTCCGTACGCTTCTGCTGATCCTATCAACCGTCGTCTCCGTCACGGCCATGGAAAAGCGGCTATTAAAGACAATGGTCTTGATTTCACTGATGACCAGGTCTCATGGATTCCGTGGTGATTAGTTTGTCTTTTAGTTCATTATTATCCCATTAAGCTGATTGGTTTTAGGATTGGGGATAGCTCAAGTCTGGAATTCTTGTGACAATGCGTCGTTTTGCTCTTGATTTATTGTGAAAGTTTGGATTTTGTGGCAAATCTAACTGAGATTGTTCTCTTTATGGTGTTGGTTTTTCGGTTTAATTTAGTTTCTCATAGTGGGTTTGCCTAAATTGCTCTGTTCGTGGTTTAAAGTTTGGAAAGTGATTGGTTAGGGGAGAGTTATATTTTGTTGATTGAACTGAATTTTTTTTCTTGTGCATTAGCTATGGTTGAAATGTACTAAATCACTCTAACCAGAACCTAAATTCGGCTGGTCAAACTTTAACCTTTTTATGCTAATTCTGAGCTCATTTGTGTTTTGGTTCTTGATTACTAGATTTTGGTTTCTTAGTCCTGTAAGCTGAGATTAGGTTTGTTGATGGGTGATTCTATCTAAAAATGTGACCTTTAGTTCAACTGCAATTACTTGTTTCTCTTACTAGCTTACTCACTGCGCTTGAAGATGCCTTTTGCTCCGGCTTTTCAATTTTAACAATTCTGCTATGGTTCATGGTTCTCAGCCAGAGAGTGCGGGAAGTGAAAGGAGACAGATCGGTCAGATGCTGATGAAGCATCATCAGTTAATCGAAAGAAACGACCATGCTTTGCAGCCAGTATCTCCTGCAAGCTACGATAGCTCCCTCGAGGTACACACTTCACATTCAGTCCAAACACTCTTCTTCTTTATATTCTGGAAACCGATTATATAGCTTGCCTCAAAGATATGAAGTTTTTCAATATCAACAAAGCAATTTAAATTGTTTGTTTGTCACTTTTTGTGATTGGTAATGAGATGGATCACTCTGCAGGTGGCTCCATATAATGCAGCAGTGACTCCGGGAAGAAGACGAGGTGGTGAGCCTAACAACAATCTCAAGACATCAACCGAACTTCTCAAAGTACTGAACCGAATCTGGAGCCTTGAGGAGCAGCACTCTGCTAATATCTCTTTGATAAAAGCTCTAAAAACCGAGCTTGCTCATTCACGTGCCCGGATCAAAGAGCTTCTCAGATGCCAGCAAGCCGATAGACGCGAGATGGATGATCTAGTGAAGCAACTCGCGGAAGAAAAGCTGTCAAAGGAAACAAAGGAACACGATCGGTTAAGCTCTGCTGTTCAGTCGCTGGAAGATGAGCGGAAACTAAGAAGACGTTCTGAGAGTTTGCATAGGAAACTGGCACGGGAGCTCTCGGAGGTGAAGTCTACGTTGTCTAACTGCGTTAAGGAGATTGAGAGAGGGACCAAGTCGAAGAAGATTCTGGAGAGATTATGTGACGAGTTTGCGAAAGGGATCAAGAGTTACGAAAGGGAGATTCATGGTTTAAAGCAGAAGCTGGATAAAGATTGGGAAGGTTGGGATGAACAAGATCAGATGGTTCTTTGTATTGCGGAATCATGGCTTGACGAAAGAATTCAGAGCGGAGACGGATCTGCGTTGGAGAAGCTCGAGTTTGAGATAGAAACGTTTCTTAAGAGTAAGCAGAACAAGGAATCTAATGATAAGCCAAGGAATCGTCGGAGTTCACTTGAGTCTGTTCCATATAACGCCTTGAGCGCGCCGATTCAGGAAGTAAACAGTGAGGAGGAAGAAGAAGATTCGAATTGTTTTGAGCTCAAGAAACATGGAGGTGATGAAACTGAGAAACAGGAATTACCAAAAGCAGATGTTAAGTCTGGTGAGAAACCGAGAAGCCCGTCGTCGAGTTTACAAGTGAAGTTCGAGGATCAAATGGCGTGGGCGATGTCTTGTAATGAGAAGAAGAAATCTAGAGCCCTTGAAACTGAGCCTGAAACTGATAAGTGTGGTAAAGAAACGGACAATGTAGTTGGAGAAATGATCAGAGCTCATCGGAGGTTAGTGTCGGAAACTCGGGGAATCGATGAAGCTTCTTGCAGTTACCTATCAAAAAGACCAGAGAGCGCGATTCGTCACTGGAATCCGAGAAACATAAGACCTGATCTCGGTGCGTCTGAAATTTCAACGGCAAAAGGAGTAAAGGAGAACACTTTGAGAGCTAAACTAAGCGAAGCGAGAAGCAAGAGCTCCCGGCCACGGATTCGGCTATTCAAGGGCTAAGATTCTGTGTTGGAAGAGTTACTGTTGGTCAAGTGGTGGGAGATGGAACAATCCTGAGTTTTGTTGTCGGAAATAGACACAACCTATGAAAGTTCCATTTCTTGTGTGGATATGTTCAATCTTGTAAATGTTTGTAAACTATATGTATAATGTATATCTGTGTAATAGCGATTTCATTGTCTCTGGATTTCGGATTCTTGTTTTTCTTAAAGATTCAAGAAGCCTTGGGAATTCCAAATGTGGTGGCTTTCTTGACACGGCGTCGTTTAGGTAACAGAAAGAGATATGAAACGGCGTCGTGACGTATGGATTCTTCATTCTTGGTTTTTTTTTAACAAGTCATCGTTGTCTTCGTCTCTAAAGAAAGAGAGGGGAGAAATGGCGACGGCGTCGTTCAGGTGGATATTGCAGCTTCACAAAGATGTACCAAAAGCAGCTCGATTCTACTCGCAAGGTCTCGATTTATCCGTCAATGTCGTCACTTTACGTTGGGCTGAACTTCAGTCTGGCCCTCTCAAGCTAGCTCTTATGCAATCTCCTAGGTATTGACTAAAATCTCGATCAATGCAGATCACGTGTTCGATCATTTGCCACAGTGAAAACTTCTTTCCAAGTTTACTTGTTAAAATTAGTTTTTAGTTAGTAGCTTTTCACTTCTCTGATGTTTGTATTGAATATGCAGCGACCATGTGGTGAGTGAGAAAGGATACTCTTCGCTACTATCGTTCACAGTGACAGACATTAATACAACAATCTCGAAACTTATGGAATTAGGAGCAGAACTCGATGGCTCTATCAAATACGAAGTCCATGGCAAGGTTTTAAGCCAACCATTTTCTTTCTCTTCCCACTTCCTGCAAATTTCTCAAAGCTCTCTTTCATTCTTTTAATGGAATTTATAATCTTTTGTTTTGGGTTTTTTTTTTTGATAAACAGGTTGCATCGTTGAGATGTCTCGACGGTCATGTGCTCGGCCTCTATGAACCTTCATAAACTCATGCTAAATTGCTAACACTTTGTTAAACTTACACCACATCTCCATGTCTAAGTTCATTTGTGGATTTGGTTAAAGTTTTTCCAATCCTGTTTAATAAACAGATCATTTCTGGTTTAACTAATCGAAACATTGATTAGAGCGTTGATTAGCCAGTGATCAGATTGCTGATTAATGGTCTAGACGTTTGATTTTTAGAAGATAGGCAAAGACTGTACTAGTAAGAAGTATCAGTCCTCTTTTTAAAAAGGACGTGAAGATGTCTGCCAATTTAAAGGTAAAAGGCACAATGTCAGAAAACTAAAGCAAAATTCAAGGTACTGCATTTTCTTATTTTGAAATCTGAACAAAATACTCTTGAAACAATGTGGTTAAAATCCCATTCCCTATTGCTAAAAAAAGCAAAGACAAAGAGAGGATTTTTAGGAAAACAAAAACCTCAAGTGCTCTTCTTGGCAAGCTTAGACCATTCAGTGTGATACGCACCAGGACGATCGATCCTCTCATAAGTATGAGCTCCAAAGAGATCTCTCTGCGCCTGAACTAGATTCGCCGGCAATCTAGCGCGCCTGTAAGTATCGAAATATGCAAGACTCGCGCACATTCCAGGCGTGCTTATCCCTGCAGCAACAGCCAAACCCACCACTCTTCTCCAAGCAGCTTGCCTCTGAACCATCTCTTTAGCAAAGTCAGGATCAACCACAAGACTTGCCAAATCCGGGTTTCTCTGGTATGCTTTCTTGATCCTATCCAAGAAAACCGCTCTTATGATGCAGCCTCCTTTCCAAATCCGAGCCAGTTCACCGAAGTTCAAGTTCCAGCCTTTCTCTGAGCTCTTAGCTCTAAGCAGATTCATCCCTTGAGCATAACTACAGATTTTCGAAGCGTAGAGAGCTTGCCTAACATCATCAACCAATCTCTTCTTATCGATCCCGCTCGATGCAGAACCAATCTCTTCCTTCAATCCAGCTTCTCTCAACACTTTCGCAGCATTCTCCCTCTCATCTTTCAATCCGCTCAAGTACCGACAATCCAACGAGGCAGCAATCGTCGGAGCCGCCACAGAGAGCTCCGCCGCCTGCTGAACAGTCCATTTTCCGGTACCTTTCATGCCGGTTTTATCCAATATCTTATCCACCAGCTCTCCATCACCGAACTCATCCTTGACCCTAAATATATCCGAAGTAATCTCAACCAAGAAGCTCTCAAGCTCACCTTGATTCCACTCCGTGAAGATCTCCGCAAGCTCCTCGTTGCTCAATCCACCAACGTTCTTCAGCACATCGTAAGCTTCAGAGATCAATTGCATATCTCCATACTCAATCCCATTATGAACCATCTTCACGAAATTTCCAGATCCTCCTTCTCCGATGTAAGTAACGCAAGGTCCATCTTCTACCTGAGCCGCGACTTTCTCCAAGATATCTTTGATGTTGTCATACGCCTGAAACGATCCGCCGGGCATAAGCGACGGACCGTTACGAGCTCCTTCTTCGCCGCCGGAGACTCCCATGCCTAAATAGAGCAGTCCTTTCTGCTCCGCCTCAGAGATCCGTCGCTCTGTGTTCAGATACCATTCGTTTCCACCGTCGATGATGCAATCTCCGGGCTCCATGTACTCGGAGAAGGCGGCGATTGTCTGGTCAACGGGAGCTCCGGCTTTGACGAGGATGATTAGGGATCTCGGTCGTTGGATGGAGAGGACGAAATCGCGCGGAGAGTATTGGCCGGAAACTGGTAGGTTTCCTTCGACGGAGGCTCGATCTAGGGTTTCGTCGACCTTCGATGTGGTTCGATTGTAGACTGAGATTGGGAAACCTTTCTCGGCGATGTTCAAGGCAAGGTTCTGGCCCAA